GAGTAACACGCAGTGAGGAACCATGATAAGAGATACCGTGAGAAGCGTAAATGAGCCCGGCCAACGGAAAGCGTGGTCTGCTACGTTTTCTACGTATCTGAACAATATAGGCGAAAATTACAAAATATTTTTTCGTTGCGTTTTTTTCTTGCTTTTATTTGTTATAGGAAGAATTAAATTCGGATCGAATGCAAATTACACATTAGCACTAACATGTACAACAAGTTTTTTGCACAGTAGATTAGGCGACTCGGCAAAATCGAACAGCTGGCCGGCATGGCAATGAAACTTTCGATAAATCTGTAAAGTAAGATGTGTCAGAACAACTGTGCCTGCTCATGCATCTCGTGCATGAGGTGCTGTTCGTACATGAGAAAAAATAAAATCTAAATGAACGTTGCACGATCTGCTTCCGTGTCTATCATCTGTGATTAACAAATGAGACTGACGTTTGTTGTGAATATGTGGTCTGACAAACATGATAAAATTGTTCGGCGAAATAGTTGTCTCCTACGCGCTCACGGTAATACCTTTCTGCTAATTTCCTGAATCTACCTCTATTATAGTGTTATATTGATTTTTTGTAAATTGGATATATCCCAATCCGTGTTAGAACCTACATAGATCAGGTTGTTACAAATAAATTGTGTTTTGCCGATATTCTATGGCATGGTATCTTGATAGTTGACTGTTTGATTTCGAAACTTGTCTCGTCTAACTATTACTATGCTTGTGTGGGTCTATGCACTTACTGATATGTGGAAATATATGATGATATGTTTGTTAAACAAACGTTTCTAGTGTTTGCATAGAACCTTGTTGACTGATGTACACATCGAGCCGATAACGGTTAACGAATGTGACTTTTATTATATCAATTTATGTACTTATAGGAATCTGTACAATTTTGTAATAGTATTAAATATAATCATCGACAGACCTCTTTTTGTTCTGTCGCAATATATAAACAGTCATTTTCATGTTGAACACAGTAGCCAGTGTGACTTCTATGTACTATTCTAGACTAGACCAAAAATCTGAAGAAAGCAGGTCTAATGTTCAGAAAACTATCCCCATAAGTTTAACGAATTATTTCAGTATGTCTTATGTATATTGAACGTTTGCTCACATCAGTCGTCGTCCCTGAAGGAAGGTGTTCAACCGTTCGAAAGATTCGTCTCCAACCACTTGATCTCGTTGAAACAAAAACATCCTACCGAAACTATGACGTTGAATTTACCCCTTTGTTAGGGTCTTTATACTTTCTGTCTAACGAATTGTCTCATTATGCCTCCCGCAATTGTGCTCAACTAGCTATCATTTATTCTTCAGTCACCGGGAATGGAAATTACACAGAATCTCCGTATGTACCTTCACAGTTATTTAGCGTTGGAATAGAATTACGTCTCTTCATAAAGATACATAAACTCGCAAAACTGTAATAAGCTATTTATCCATGTTTGTGTTCTGTTTTTCTGTACTCGCGCATGCGCATTCTTATTGTAAAGATGGATTCAGCCACACGCAATTGCATATAATGGTTTCGTCAAGCGAGGCTTTTTTATACCGAATGCACGCTATAGAACTAGATGTGCATTTGATTGGAACACAGTTCCTTACGTTTCTCAGTACCATTATCCTTTACGATCTGTCGTCGTTGTCAGAACTGTTGTTGCCGCGATAAAGGTCATGTGCTTCGATTATCGGTGATTCAAAACCGCAAAAAAAACAACAGTACCAGACAACGAATCAGGCGGACGTGACGGCTCCTTTGCAGTTACTTTCCTTCTGTCAAAACTTCGACAATGAATCGCATTTTGGCGTAGTAATAGTCATAGGAACTGCAACACAGCGTAAGATGCCTACTCGTTGGGTCCATCAGATGGGTTATTAGTCGGAACCGCTCCCTATCGGGTAGCCGTCAAAACGGACCTGGCGAACAGGCAATCAAATGTGTGCTTGTTATTTATTCGTTTATCTAAAGATTTCTTAAAGTCAATACGAGCGCATTTTTAAGGCCTTTTACTAATAATGATCGAGAGGAAAATACTTGTATGCACGAGATGCACGGTTAGAGCAGCGGATGCGAGCATGCGCAGCTTAACAGGCTGTACTGAAATCGTACCTTGATTATGTGCTGAAAATCACAAAACTACAATAAAAGTTCGCATCTTAGATCGCAATGGATATTTTTTGATGAATTTACATTGTAGCCTAAATTACGTTATCTTCTATTGCTAGCTTGGACCTAGCAATGAATCCGAAACAACGATACACATACAACAGCAAACTGTAACCTTTGAATCGCATCAATCTTCTATGTTAGTTGAGTCCTCGCAAAGAAACATATGCCACGAAACAAGTTCGCTTCTATGCGGACGGTAGAAGCTAGAAGACAGCTCAGACTAGATGTCTCCTTTTAGCTGTTGCACTAACCTGGAGGCCAAGCTTACGACAGACTGATCTGGTCCCTTGTGAGAGAAGGCCAGGACGAACACACACGAGTCTGCAACTGCTTAGCAGCACATGAAAGCAAGTACAGGTGGATGAGCCCTAACATTGCTCGTTATTGGCTGCCTGTAATCGAGCGTCTATAGCGCGTTCTATTATGTTCAGTTAGAACAAAAAGTAAAGTAAACAAAACTTGAATCAATTTAAGCCATGAATTAGATATGTTTTACCTGGTCTATGTAGATAAAAAAAAGAACTTAGGTAATCTTATCTTTGCGGTCTTTGAATGAGCCAAGGACTTCTTGCTCTTGACTCATGACAACATCTCAGATTTGCGACATAGGCCGATAGTTATTTGTATCAAGAATCAGCAGTGTGGAGCTAAGTCAACTATGAGCTTCGTGGTTATATATTAGTATTAGGCTTTTAGATACTTCGTAGATACTTCCCGTCGACTTAGTTATAATAAAATTCACAGCTTGTTTCTCGTCATTTGGTACAATGGCATCCAGTCGAACACCCTTTTTTTTGTATAGAGCAAATGCTACCTAATTATTGCTAATTTTAAAGAGAATTAGAAAAAAAACAACTTCACAGCGTATAGGATCTATGCGACAAATAATATCACGCCAATCGAACCTGCTCAGAAAATTGCAAATAGTTTTATTGGTAGGTCTCATGGTTGTCGTGGTCAGCAGGTGATTTAACTAAACGGATGCAATAGTACCACGCTGCGTAACCCGCCCCGAATCTACCGACGAGAACATTCATTGAAGCTGAGACACATTTTCTGTACGCAGTAATGATATGCCAGCAGGAACAGCTGCCGGTACCTGCATGTTGGCATTGCCAGCCTAACGGTCCTAGCATAAAACGAACGTCAGCACGTCACAATTCAAGGATTTCTCCGTTCCAATTAAAGCGGTGTTCCATTCATCGCTCTGACCGCCCAGCCCGAACTGGATTGCTTTGATTTCGTACGTATCCATAGGTAACTATATATATGCATGCAAAGTCATTATTTCTCAAAGCTTATATCATTGTTATAGCTCTATACTCGTTGTTAGACTAGGCGCCGCTGTCTCAACGGAGATCCAACTGGTCAAAATGAACTAGCGAACAAAAATGGCATAAACATAAAGTAATTGTAATTGTTGCTAATGTCATTGAGCCCATTTTCCGTTTGAGCACCCACTTGCGAGTCAATATGGGGGCTGACTCGCTCGTTAAAGTGCGGTGTGGGGTGCGAAAAAGGAGTGGTGAAAGATCTTCTCCGGGAAAATCCTACTGCGAAATTAAAGATGCCTGCGTAGAAATACTAAACGCAAATATCATAGCTGTCAGAGCAGGCACACTTCAACTAATATATTTCAAATTACGGAAGCCTAAATGACGACGGCACTTTATTTTCAGCGAAATGAAAAACTATAGTTTGCGATCTTCCCCTATATTGGAAGATTTTCTTGATCTTCTGGTGTCGAAACAATTACAGTGGCTTACAAGATGCTTGCTAGATATACGGTAATTTTATATTCCGTAAAAAGGAGCCCAAAGGGCTTAGTTTTTCCGATCTATAACTAAGATTACTTGATCGAAAATCCCAAGACCAACTAGACCTATAGTGGGCACTATTACTGTTACAAGTAAACCAAACGTTTTTAACTTTTTAAAGCTTCAGATCCAAGAAACGTTTTAGGAATTATTGTAGAAAAATTTCTATATTGAACAAATTATCGGTTCTCTACTGTGGACAAGAATTGGCCCGTCCGTGAAGATTCTTGTCTATCTTCGGATTCAAACTTAATCTGGCCACAGTTGCATTGTTATGCGATATTCCCGCAGTATTTCGCCGTCTTTAAGTGTTCAGGTAACTGCAATGCTTAAATCTCGCTTGTTAATTCTATGATTTTTCCTCTCGCTCGCATTATTCAGACGGGTATAGGGGAAGAATGGGCGATATAGTTCGCTTTTCGTTTAACTACAAATTCCGTCAATCTTCCGAATTATTATAATACAGATATAAATTTGCTGCTATTCATCTACATGTTCGTACTTAAACGGGTTACATCGTGTTTCAACGGTATCACGAACAATCCGCTCACTCCACCTTTCGTTTACCGTCGTCATCATCATCATAGTAAAATTAAGAACGAACGCGTTCTCTATGATAACGATCCTCCCCTGCACAATTCGCAGCTTGTGGGATTCGTCGCACTGCAGTGGCAGCAGCGCCAATGAAAATCTTATTATTAGCGCACGTCGCGACATACTTCCTGTCCAGTTAGTGAACAAAGAGCTACCCTCGACGCCGCTGCCTGACGCGCGTGTCGCACGAACCACGCAAACCGCTACACCAAACGCAGCGTTGGGTAGCAATGGAGTTCTTGTAGCTGTACTGGTAACAGCGGCAATGGGGGAACAATTATTGTGACGCAGGCGCGATCGGTGACGGACGATGGCGCAGCTACCCTGAAGTGGGGAGGGCATCGACGGAGTGGTAGGGGCGTGAACAGCCCCTCACAGCGCGAAGGAGCCCCTCACGGCGAGAACGACCAACTCCGACTACAGTTGTCCAGAGCTGCACTGGCTATCATTGAATGAGTAGGCAATGCGCGATCCGCCCGGCAGATACGGTTCGACAACGTGGACAATTCGAAGGCTTGGCACGTAAAGGCTTCCTGCATGCTAGTATCAGAGCGAATGCGTCTTAAAAAGTTTTCCTTTGGCGAACACAGACACTGGAACAACGCGAGTCAAGTTGAACGGTTGAACTTAAAAACCATTGTGAACCAGAAAAATACGTGATCCAAATCCATGCATTTGAAATACTGCTTTGTTGTAGGTCCCCATATTGACACAGTATAAAGTATTGAAATTATCAATTTATTGTTTTATTATAGTCCACAGCTGCATTCATTTTGTGTGTTGATTCCGTGTATATATGAAGTTGAGTTTAAGTCTCTTCAAAGCCCTTATACAAATGGAACGACAGCAACGATGATCACCAGCGAACGAAAGGCTACCGTTTAAGGGCTGCTGTCGGTGCCCAACGGACGCATTTCTTCGTGCCACAATTTGGATTCGTTTTTTACGTTCTACTTGCGAAAAGAAATCCAAAGGCCAAAAACCAAAAGCTTTTGCAGGCGGAGCGAAAGGTCATTTAAATAATTACAAAGCCCCAACTTCCACAAGTGGAACGCGTTCACCAGAGTACGGTAAGAGAGAGTTCGGCGGGGCTAGTTTTGTTTAGGCGTTAGTGCAAGCAGAAAAACGCCGAAGTCCGTGCGTTTAGAACGTCTCCCATTCTCTGGGCGTCCGAGGCACATTGGGCGTACCAGCAATGGACATACCTTATGCCTGCTGCCGTACCGCGTTTTCGATAGAGACTGTGGTTCGTAGTTCTTAGTTTGTCCTGGCACGATGCCCTGACTGAAGCTAATCCACTGCGAAACGACGATGATCACGAAATTGACCACACTAACGAAAACTCGAAAAATATCAATACCATTCGGTAATAATTACAAGCAGTGCACTACTAGTAGATCGTAGACCGACTACTAAGATCCCATAGAGGACATCGTGGTCACTGCTACGGCGTTGTAGTTGTGGCCCCATCGGTTTATTATTATTATTTGGACTATTATACGTTGAATTACTGGGTTTCATGAAATTGTTTAATGGTGTATGTTGTTCGCTGGTACCTTGCTACAGCTTTTTTGCCCAAATCATCAAAATCATGCCAGCCTGAAAGCACGAAAAACAATTAAAGATCACTCAATGATTTGCGTCTTTCATCTGGACGCCTCTCGTATATTGTCCTTTCGTGGTAGCAGCTATGAATAGCTCTAGAAGTGCCCGACTAAATATACGAGGAAAACACGGCTGTAGCATTTGTTTAGGCGACGATAATTTCTTAAATGTCTCAGATGGTCAGTTGATCGGTAGAGAATCGTGTCATTGGCTTTGATTTGATCCTCATTTTATTCTATAAGTCCCCTAGCGCTTGGGCATAATCGGACTTCGACAAAAGAAAAGGTGAACAAAAACGTAAAAGAAGCTACTTGTCTCCATTTTGTGCCTGCATCTTTGTATTTCCTACCTAAACTGTGATTACTGCAGTCGACCTATGGTGAATCGGCTTGAGCAATTTTTCGAGTGACAAATTTAACAACAGTCAAAGGATTAAGCTTGTGTTAATTTGTTTTAATGGAACAACCTATATTAAATAGACCTCTTGAAGAATTGTGAAGTGACGGGTTACAGGGAGCTATTGGACATAAGAAGACTTTACTCTTGGACATCTGCTCTGGTGAGTAAAGGAAACCAACCATGCTCCCTTGGCAAACTTCGCACTCATTAAGCACTGAGCCCTTAAAACAAAAACACTGAACACCAAGACAGATCTTTATACAAGGTGGCATAAAGGTACAAGGTGCCTATTTGAGATAGCTGTTACTCAGACTCTTAGTATAATTTGGTCCGAAGTCGTCCGAAGAAATGTTTAGCGGGAGAACGGTATAACTCGAAATATTTAGATTAACCTTGCCAGTTTGAACAATTATTAGTAAATGATTGTAGAATAGATAAATAGAACCACGGGATATACCTACATCCTATCGTCGCCGAGTTAGTACCTCTTATCTGAACTTATCGGTATCGTTGCATTGTTTTGTACTTCTACTCGTCTTTTGAGGCCTGAAAATCCAATTCTGCACCAATCCACATAAGTCGAATAAAAATCAAAGTTAACAAACATTTATCAAGAATTATATTGACTATATTGATTTTATCGAATAAATTTATGCAAGACCCGATTTAAATCGAGATAGCTTAAAATATAAGATATAATTATGTTTCAAAATGGAGGTTATTATTACTACTTTTAGCTTTTAGGTTTTTCTCGTTTTCAATGTCAATTTGGCACTAAGGTTTCACGTACTCTCTATACCTGAAAACTTACAGCCCAGCTTCTCCATTTTGACTAATGATAGCTGAATCGTTTCAGCGCCCCCACGATAATTCGTTTATCTGAATCAGAAATATTAGACAGAACATATTAGCTGTAAACGCGGTTCGTTAATACAAATTCGTACTGCACAAGGTAGCGGAAAACAGAGTTCCGATAGAAAATAAGTAACTTTAGCTGTCTTCGCGTCGTCGCTTTGTACTAAACGATCTCCTTAACTTGTCCTGATTGGTCGCAATAAAGCTGCCCTGCTTAGTACAGGGCCATTTTCGTGATGGCATAGTGGTAACGCGATTGCCTACTAATCTTAAGGATACGTTGCGATCTAAGTTTTGCTAACGCAGGAGATTTGCGATCACGTTATCCCTTAGAGAGTACTTTCACTCATGAAACGCATTTTTTCGTAAACGCTAGAGTTGCGTACAGTCATAATGATGGCTTCCTACTTCCAAACTAAGAATTTTTTTAAGGGGAGGCCTCAACACGGATTGGACGTACCTCACTAATCAGTTACATGCTATAGGCTCGCTGTACTCTAGAGTACCTCGCTTGCTTAGTGCTTCGGCAAAACTCTAGGTGACATCGTGTGTGTACGTTATATATTGTGGTTTGTGTTAGCTTTTTTAACATGCCCATAGGGTTAAGCGAGTTTTGTTTAAATTGCAAGCAGACTACGATGTTAGTATTTGAAAAGAGTTTCAGAAAGGTAGCTGACTCTGATCGATGAATGTATACCTCTACTGAGAATGGAAGTTGTCAATTCAGGTCAGCAATAGATTAGAAAATGTATAAGAACATGGTACGTTTCGGTTTGTTGTTATTAGTCTGTGAAGTCGATTTCTTTTCGTAACTCTGTAGGAATAAACATGGTTGATCTTTTTTGCGGCTGAGGCTTCCGCAGCACTTCAGTGTTGTTTTGCCGACCGAGACAACTGAGTATTTGAGAGTGTTTCGGCTATGGATCAATTAAAGAAACGTTTTCAGCGGGCGTTACATTATTATACGTCTTCCCAGGAAGTGGCACTATGACACGGGCTTTATTTCACCATCTGTTGCAGTGAAATTTAGTTGCGCTGCCATATTTAGTAAAGATGTCAACATGCAACGGACCGTGGTCGGCGGTCGACGTTTACAAAACTAGTTTTTCCATAACTTTTTTGACAGTATAATTTTTCAGCAGCAAGTAGTGCCTTAATAACTGTTTCGCTGCTACTACTATTAGCCCTGTATTTCTAATACGCCAAGCTGACGAAATGACCAAATCAGTTATTGCCACATCAACAGTTTCCGTCAGCGGAGCTGGAATACGACGAATACATGCCGTTGAACAGATTGAATGTATTTTGTGTTCAAGCAGACAATGCAAAAAACAGTGACATCGAACGCTGCAGCCGTAGGGCCTCGACTAATGACGACCTGAAGGAGAACTGTATCTGTTTTAGTATGCTAGCAGTAGTCTGCTAAGCAGACTGATCTGTGCCGAGCGTCTTTCCCAGCCCGCGCTCCCATGTATCAATGTATAGTTTTGCATGATCATCCGAGGCGATATGGCTGAAAAATATAATATCATTGTGTTACATTCGACTTTGTGATTATGCTATGGACGTATGGTGTTTTTACTTAAGTCTCTAGCGGGAACGGAGTGACGGCTTCTCTTGGAAGAGATCAAGAGAATGGAGAATCGACGAGTGAATATACGGTAAAAAAAAAAAGACCGTCTTGCATGACTCAGATAGTAAAGCTTAATTTGTGACCAGTTTTTGTTACGTTCGAATGAGAAACACAGCGAACGGATAGTATATGAACATATATTCTCAGTATTAGAATATACATCTATTGGGTTGGTGAAAAAAGCAGTGAGTGTTTTTGTAGCTAGATGGCACTAAACTCACATGTATCAGGTTATATGAGTTGCATTGGTATCGCTTGAAAGCTGAGATCTGGTAGTAATAGGTATGTAAAAACTGCTGGAATAGCTTTATTCAAACCTGAGATAGAATGACTTAAATGAACACGAATGAAAATTTGTCTGTCTCTCTCTCTCTCTCTCTTACAATTTTATCACGATAAAGGCACACTTGCTGCCTAGACCCATAAAAAACTATGCTGGCTGTGGTGAAAATTTGTTGTTGAAATAATGGCCCGTAGATGGTTGTGTCACCTTCGTTCAGGAAACTTCGATATGAAAGGTGCTCCTCGTAGTGGTTGACCACTTACGGTAAAAAGTTTATAAAACTATTGCTAAACTTGAAGAAGACTAGGGCACTAGACTGTTTGAAATCGTTTGAAAAAGAGCTTGATATTCGAGTGTCCCATTCGCTTTATTCGCAAAACTTTACAGAGATATGGCGAAGTCGAGTTATTTCTGAAACGGCTGATGAAAACTAGATCACGTACGGCAACAATATGCAAACCACAGACTGACGCCAAGAAAACTTACGCCACATATGTTTGATGGGACTAAACAGGTGCTGTCGTCTGGGAATACGATTGATCCAGGCCTCTATTGCTAACAAAATTATCAAGGCACAGAAAAAAATCGACTGGAATTAATGATCAGGAAGACTTCGTCTTCGACCATGACAATGCCAGACCGCATACACCCTGAGAGAACTTCAATTGAGAATTGAGATGCGTTCGCCGTATAGCCCGAGTTTGACATCATGAGGCCATCTCTTAAAGCCCGCAGCCGTTTTCTTATAATAGGCACCACGGTGTAGTTCATTATGGACGAAATGAATCTTCGCTGTGTCATATGGCCGATAGCATTGTTCACTGAGAAAATATTTTATATATGCAAATATAATTCAATCTAACTTAACCTTATGTTATGAATGCGTCAAGTAACTGAACGAGCAGATTGGTCGAAGACATGTTCTTTAATTATAATAAGTTTATTCTTAGCCATTCCTATTATTTCATTAATATATATATATATATATATATATATATTACAATACTATCCTAGCGACGAAACAACGGGAAGGAGCGGAATACAAGATACGAACATTAAACATCTTTGAATTTTTCGAAAAAACACAATAATAATTTCACAATACATCAAAATCGTCGTTTAATAATTATACTGTGCTGGAAAAAAAAGCTACAGTTCATATTTAAAAATAATATACCTATATATATGCATATTGGGATGTAGAGAAGTTATTAAGCCAATGTTGTTTTTTTTCAACACCTTCAAACAATCTTGTTACACTAAATATGCGCCGTTACGATCGCTGATTTTTTGCCATTTTTCCAGTAACCCCATAATCCCAGTGCGGTAAAACCTTTGCAATTTCTGGGCGAAAAATAGTGACGAGCGATTTCTCCAATGAAGCTAAATTAACACCATTTCGTTGAGGCTGAAACAGATATGATAATTAGACGTGGCTTCAACCATTTTACTAATCTGCTCCCCCCATTTGCCTCACGCATTCATAACTGTCTTGCTGTTTTATACAGATATATAAGACTAAATTAAATTGAATTATATTTGCACACATATATATGTGCAAATATTCTATCTCTATATATATAGGTAGAATATTCTATATATATAATATTCTATATATATATAGAATATTCTACCTATATATATTCTCCTGACGGCCTTTGGCACAGCGAGGATTAATTTAATAATAGTGAACCACACTGGAGTACCTATTACAAGAAAATCGCTAAGAACTTTCATCCTTTACACATGGAAAACATTATTAACAGTAGTGCACAGCAAACATATTTAATATGATATAATATAACCGAGTTGAATATAGTTTGCTAATGTGTAGAATAGATAGACAGAGAGTAAGCACTTTTATATTTACTATCGGAGGTGATTCGCTATGGCATACACAGGGAGTGATCTGTTCCTGTGTAGATTGCAAAGCCCTGAGCGAATATTTTTATATCTAGAAGCTATGTAACACGTGTCGACAACGCGTTCTCACATACTAAAGCTACACAGCTGAACAAGCGATCTATTACCTATCCATTCCCACTGGCCAGATCTGCAAATGGGCCTTACCTGTTTGTAGACAAGCTCCCTTCCAAGTCCTAATTAAATCTCTAACGACATTTTAAGGGCGAGTGTCTTTGCTCCCAAAGCAACACGCACAATCCAATGGCTCGATGGGGCGCTAATTCAGTTTGCTTGATTTCAGAAATGGAGTGCGGCCTATTATCTAGCGAGCTCATTTACAGTGACTTTATTATCTTTGATGATGAAAAATCACCTTTAGATATTCTCTTACCCCAGCGACAGATAACGTTAACTAGAGCGTTAGACAATCATGTTACCACTTCGGTCGAAACACTGCCTGCCGAATCCCTTTGAAACAGAAAAA